TATTCAATTAGATATCCTAGAATCACAGTTTCTAGAACTTGGTGTTCAAGAACAGATACCAGATACAGTGGTAAAATCTACTGGGAAAAGTGTAAGATGTACCAATATTTTATAATGTGATAAGACAAAAAAATATCTTTAGTTACCTTTCACTTCAGTATATTACTTTGAAAAATTTTTTCTTCAGACTCTGGAAATTTGTCCTTTAAAACCGTTTTATTATTCTCTCAACACTCCTATTTCCATCAATTATTTCCTGTTTGGAAACAGGGAAGAAGTACTTCAGTAAAGCTACTTTGAATTATTACAAATAATAAGAGCTCCGAGTGTTGGGGGCACCTTGGGAGGAGGTGCGAACAGGGTCAGCTAAAAGGGACTTTTGAGAGGGAGTTCTCCAGATAAAGGAGGAGTAAATACGGGACCCTTGATGTAAGTTGCTGTTTGTAGTGTGTGTTTGTGTGTCGGGGGGATTACTTGCTATGTGCTGAGCTTGTGTTTGTCTGTTTGGTTTGTTTGTTTGAAGGAGTGTGTGCTGTGGCTTGAAGCTTTGAGCTTCTAAAGGTTTGAAATCTAGAAGCCTCTGTTAAATGGCTGAGCCTTAGTCAGGGGGAGGGGCTACCACGGCTTTATAAAGCTGTGAGTCAGCGACCAGGAAGCTTGCGACCAGGAGCAGCTAACAGGGAGTTTTGAGAGGGAGGTTAGAGGGCGCTAGTTTCTTCTGATCTTCTTTAAACATAATTTTTATAATAATCTATATTTCAGACATTTAATAAGAAGCCCAGTTTATAATTAAACTTATTCATAAGAAAAATGGAAAATTTACCATTTATTCCTACCCTTGGTTTCCTGTCTTTTAACCTATTATCAATCCACGAAAGGACCTTCCCTCTTATAACATAACTTACTTTACTTGAGAGCCTGTGATGAAGGATCTTGTCAAAGGCTTTCTGGAAATCTAAGTGTACTATTGCCACTGGATTCCCCCTTGTCCGCATATTTGACCACTCCCTCAAAGAACTCTAGTAAATTAGTAAGGCATGATTTCACTTTACAGAAATCATGTTGACTTTTTCCCCAACAAATTATGTTCATCTGTGTGTCTGACAATTGTATTTTTTACTATAGTTTCAACTAATTTGCCTGGTACTGACATTAGACATACCAGTCTGTAATTGCCAGGATCGCCTCTAGAGCCCTTTTTAAATATTGGCGTCACATTAGTTATCTTCCAGTCATTAGATTCAGAAGCTGATTTAAAGGATAGGTTGCAAACCACAATTAACAGTTTTGCAATTTCACATCTGAGTTCTTTCTGAGCTCTTGGGTGAATGCCAACTGGTCCTGGTGATTTGTTACTATTTAATTCATCAATTTGTTCCAAAATCTCTTCTAATGACACCTCAATCTGGGACAATTCCTCAGATTTGTCACCTAAAAAGAATGGCTCGGGTTTGGGAATCTCCCCAACATCCTCAGCTATGAAGACCGAAGCAAAGAATTAATTTAGTTTCTCTGCAAGTACCTTATCGTCTTTGAGTGCTCCTTTAACACCTCAATCGCCCAAGGGCCTCACTGGTTGTTTAGCAGGCTTCCTGTTTCTGATGCACTTAAAAACATTTTGCTCTTACTTTTGAGTTTTTCAAATCCCCTTTTGGTTTTTCTTACAGTTTTACACTTAGTTTAACAGAGTTTATGTTCCTTTCTATTTTCCTCACTGGGATTTGACTTTTTAAAAGATGTCTTTTTATCTCCCACTGCTGCTTTTACTTGGTTTTTAAGCAATGGTGGCACTTTTTTGGTTCTCTTATTGTGTTTTTTCATTTGTAGTATACATTTAAGTATGGTGTCTGAAAAGTTTCCATGCAGGGATTTTACTTTTGTGACTGTGCCTTTTAATTTCTGTTTAACTAACCTCATTTTTGTGTAGTTCTCCTTTCTAAAATTAAATGCCAGTATTGGGCTGCTAAGGTGTTTTTCCCACCACAGGGATGTTAAATTTTATTACATTATGGTCACTATTTCCAAGGATCAGAGGGATAGTCGTGTTAGTCTGAATCTAAGTCCTATGGCACCTTACAGACTATCATAATAATTGGAGCACAAGCTTTCATGGGTAAAGAAAGACCCACTTCGTCAGATGTATGTACCCACGAAAGCTTTGCTCCAATAATTCTGTTAGTCTGTAAGGTGCCACAGGACTTCTCGTTGTTTATTTCCAAGGGATCCAGTTAAATTTACCTCTTGGACCAGATCCTGCACTCCATTTAGGACTAAATCAAGAATTGCCTCTCCCTTTGTGGGTTTCAGAACCAGCCGCTTCAAGCAGTCATTTAAGGTATCTAGAAATTTTATCTCTGCATCCCGTCCTGAGGTGGCATGTACCCACTCAATACGGGGATAGCTGAAATCCCTCACTATTATTGAATTTTTTATTTTGATAACCTCTCTAATCTCCCTTAGCATTTTATAGTCACTATCACTGTCCTGATCAGGTGGTCAATAATATAGCCCTGATGCCAGTACTTTTTTTTGTTAAAAAAAAAAAAAAAAAGCCAGGATGGGACAGACATTGCCCTTTTAAGAGACTTGGCCCCTTTAAGACACGTGGCCCAGCCAACTGTCAGACACTTGAGTACAGAGGTGTCAGTACACTCCATTATTTCCTGGTAAGCTCTGTGTGGAGGTGCCAGTACTGAGTACCGAGCAGTACTATCACAAAAAAAGCACTGTACTGATATATTGTTATTATTAGAGCATGGAATTCCTATCCATAAAGATTCTATGGAACATTTTGGCTCATTTAAGATTTTTACTTCATTTGAGTCTACATTTTCTTTCACATATAGTGCCACTCCCCCACCTGCACAACTTGTACTATCCTTCCGATATATTTTATACCCTAATCTGACTGTGTCCCATGGATTGTTCTCATTCCACCAAGTTCCTGTGATGCCGTTTATATCAATATTCTCCTATAATATGAGCCACTCTAGTTCACTCATCTTATTATTTGGACTTCAAGCATTTGTGTATAAGCACTTTTAAATGTATGACTATCTATCTATCTATATTTCCTGATGTCTTAGACTCTTTTTCATTTGATTGTGTCTCATGTGATCTGATCCATACTTTATAATCTTTCATCCTTTCCTTCTGATTAGAATATAGAGCATCTCTATTAATAGACCTTCCCCTAAGACAGTGTTTCCCAATTTTATTTGGCCATGGAACCCTTTTCAGAATTTCAAGGAACCCCCTAGGTTTGTCAAAAAAAAGGGGGGGGGACCCACCAATGTATGAAAATCACATTCCTTCCCCAAGACCCCACCCCTTTAAAGCCCCATCCTCTCTGTTCCCCTCCTCTCCATCACTTGCTATCCCCAGCCCTTATACACTCTCACTGGGTTGAGACAGGAGGTGCGGGCTCTGGGGTGGAAATGAGGGATTTGGGTATGTGAAGGGGTGAGAAGTGCAAGCTCTGGGAGGGAATTTGGATGCAGGAGAAGGGGATGCTGGCTTGGAGAGGGGGCTCCAGGCTGGGAAGTGTTGGGCTCAAGTCACAGGCTTGTGGATGTGAGGGTGCAGGAGTTTGGGTTGGATATGTGAGGGGCTCAGGGCAAGGAGGCTGTGAATATGACGGGCTCAGGACACAGATTTGCCATGTGTGGATGGTGCAGGAGTGTTGTGGCAGAAGGCTGAGGATGTGGGCATGCAGGGGGAGGGTTCAGGAGTTTGGGTTGGGGTGTGTGAGGGGCTCAGGGCAGGGAGGCTGAGGGTGTGATGGGCTCAGGACAAAGATTTACCGTGTGTGGATGGTGCAGGAGTGTTGTGGCGGAAGACTGAGGATGTGGGCATGCAGGAGTTTGGGGATGTAAGAGGCTCAGGACAGGGGGTTCCACTGTATGATAGTACAGGCTCAGATTTGAGGTCAGGTGGTGCAGGAGTGTTATGATGCTGCAGTGAGGTGGAAATTTGGCCCCAATTGGGGGCATGTTGGTCAGGCTTCATTTTTAAATAAAATATGTCAAACTCAAAAGGTTTTAGCATTGTCTTTATTTATGAGAGGGTCAAGGAACCTGTTTTGAGTCAAAGGTCACTGACCCACAGAAAAGTCAGTTGGGGCCACCCAAGTGAGATGCAAAACCCCCTTCCCCCCCGCCAAGCCTCACTAATGTGGTCCCAACCGTACTGGTGCTACTGGGTGCTGGGGCCACTGGGTGCTGGGGCCAGGGAGAGAGTGTTGCTAGGTGGCAGGATGCTAGCACAGGTGGCGGTGTGCTGGGGCAGGATTCTGGGGTCAGGGACATGGTCCTGCTGGGCACTGGGGTGGGTGGCAGGGTGCTGGGACAAGGCACAGAGTGCTGCTGGGTGCTAGGGTGGATGGCAGGGTGCTGGGGTCAGGGACAGAGTGGTGCTGGTTGACAGGATGCTGGGGCCAGGGACAGGGTGGTGCTGGGTGCTGCGGTGGGTGGCAGGGTGCTGGGACAAGGAACAGGGTGGTGCTGGGTGCTAGGATGGGTGGCAGGGTGCTGGGGCCAGGGACAGGGAGGTGGTGGATGGCAGAGTGCTCGGGCCGGAGACAGGGTGGTGCTGGATGCTGGGGTGGGTGGCAGGGTGCTGGGACAAGCAACAGGGAGGTGCTGGGTGCTAGGATGGGTGGCAGGGTGCTGGGACAAGCAACAGGGAGGTGCTGGGTGCTAGGATGGGTGGCAGGGTGCTGGGACAAGCAACAGGGAGGTGCTGGGTGCTAGGATGGGTGGCAGGGTGCTGGGACAAGCAACAGGGAGGTGCTGGGTGCTAGGATGGGTGGCAGGGTGCTGGGACAAGCAACAGGGAGGTGCTGGGTGCTAGGATGGGTGGCAGGGTGCTGGGACAAGCAACAGGGAGGTGCTGGGTGCTAGGATGGGTGGCAGGGTGCTGGGACAAGCAACAGGGAGGTGCTGGGTGCTAGGATGGGTGGCAGGGTGCTGGGACAAGCAACAGGGAGGTGCTGGGTGCTAGGATGGGTGGCAGGGTGCTGGGACAAGCAACAGGGAGGTGCTGGGTGCTAGGATGGGTGGCAGGGTGCTGGGGTCAGGGACAGGGTGATGCTGGATGCTAGGGACAGTGCTGGTGGTGGCAGCAGACAAGGTATTTGTGGGGGGTCTGGGGAAGGGACAGGGGCAGCTGGGACCATTGCCTGGCAATCCTGCAGCACCTCTGGGTTAGGGGAAGTGTGCGACTGCACTTCCCCTCCCCAAACAGCTGGCGTGCGCGCTGTCTGAGCAGCAGGGGCTCTTGCACTCCAGCAACTTACTTCCGTGATGCAGTCCTGAGAGAGGGGGTGGGGTCAGGGTGCGGTAAGTCCCAGAGCAGAGCGCACTGCCTGCACAGTCGGAGCTGCACAGACCCGGGTCTCCTGACCTCCCTCCACCCCCCCACCACGCAGAAAGGCAGCAGAACTAAGTTGCCGGGTGCCACAGCCCCAGCTCTTTAGGTAGCGCACGCCGGCTCCTTTGGGGAGGGGAAGTGCTTCCCTCTC